ATGCTTTTGGATGGCACTGGTAATGCGTATTACGTGTACACTGACCTGGATCATTGACTATTACGATCGCCACACTCAAGTTAATGATGATGAGGTACAGTATTGTGGAAAAGGATTGTGCACAAAACACAAAATATATAACATTAAAAACAATTTTTTCATTGAAATCATTACTAGTTTAAAAAGAAAGTATACCTGTATATCTGTATCGACTAGTAACTAATTGTTAGGGTAGGCCTTACAGTGCAGTGCTTGTATGGCAAGTATAGGAATATTCTGTATATTCAGCACTTAATGTAAAGTAGATATTTTTTGGTATAAACTTTTTTTTTTGATTTTGTGCTGAATTTTATTTTTCATAAATCCCTAATAAGTCATATTCATTACCGGTTGTGTATAAACAGTGAATACGCTTTTGATATGCATTTTATCGTATATTTGCTTAGCGTTACGGCACTCACTCGCATACCATTATGCGAAGCAAATTTAAACTTTAAATTAGTTTGTCATATATTTATTGGCAGTGGATTAGTATACAGTTATATACCCTGGCAGTCATTGTGTGTACCGTACGACGAGAAACTAATGTATTGTCTATAATCTGGTGGAAAAGCAAACTTTGCTGTCTTAAGCACTCTATGTTTTTCTGTTATTATAGATATATTCCACTCTATTATCTAAAGGCAAACACAATCTATTTGTGTAGTAATGCTTACAAACTATTTTTTGCTCGTCTATTATTCCCTTCCATCAAATATTAGGCCAATTCATGCCATCCCCTCACGAGAGAGAGAGAGAGAGAGAGAGAGAGAGACTAAGAGGGCATAGAAATAGCTTTGGCTTAGTTTAGAATATTCTTTATTCTGCACTTTATTCACAACTGATTTTATAATAACAAAATATTTTTCACATTTTGATGTTGTTTTCATTATTATGTAGTTTACAATAATAATATTACCATTGTTTTTAAATATAGCAAATGTTTTGAGTAATAGTTAGATAAATATTATTTGTTTTTATCTTAAATATTCATAGAAGTAATGAATACTAAATTGAAATCTTAGTATACATATAGAAATAGAGATAAGTGATGAGAATAATGGGTATTTGTTTTCCATAATAAATACATTGCTGTGATTGTAATGATTTGAGTAAATATTATACTATTTGGCAATTATAACGAAACTTATTATAACTAACTGCAATCAATATAAACATTGTGTCTGTGTTTTAGAGCATAGAAAACACATTGACTTCAAGTTATTGTCTCCATAAGTATTAGTATATTATATATTGTCTTATAAACTAATATTTCGGTCGCGAAGTCTCTAAAAATAAATTTAAGTCTCTCTCTCTCTCTCTCTCTCTCTCTCTCTCTCATGGCTGGAGATTATATAGAAAACAAGATTTTCCATTATTTCTATTATTATAAGTGAAACCCTAATAATCAGATAAAAGTTTTGGCCAAAACTCTGTCTCTAATATAGCGTTTACAGCGAAAACACACACATAGAGTATATGAGAGATAAGTCTGTACTATAAGTTGATTTTGTGATTTCCATCATCAAATCGATGCCATTTTGATTGTTTGCGACACTTTTACTCCACTTTATGCGATATATAAAAGTTTATATTGAACTCACACTGGAGTACAGTATGTGATAGTAGTGTTCACTATATTAGGGATGAATAGAAAAGTTTTTGTGACACAAAGTCTGGCTCATCGCTCACTAGAATACAGGCTCTAATCAATTGAAGTATTGTAGCGAATATTCTCTCTTACGTAAGAATATTCTCTCTCTCTCTCTCTCTCTCTCTCACACACACACACACACACACACACACACACACGAGTGTGTAATTCTCGCATATAGTGAACCAAAACTATCTTAAGGTTTCACAAGAATTGTGTTCACTTTTGAGGCACAAAAAGTCAACTTTTTGTTTGAAGAGACAGTCGACTGTCCTGTAAAGGATGTCTCTATCCTTATATGCAATGATTGATGTTTGCAATACATTGTATTCAATACTATACACACATTGGCACAGACAGACAGATAGACAGACAGACAGTGCGCACCATTGATAGCACATTGTATTCAATTAGGAGAGAGAGAGAGAGAGAGTTAGCTAACAATGGATTAGATATCAAATAAGTTTTTGTGTGACTCCTATTCAGTCACACGTTATTTGAAACTTGTTTTTGTGTGTCGGAGCTACTAATATGCCCTAGCTCACACACATTAGTCAACCATTCGTATGGCGAGAATCGACAGAATTTTGAAAAGAATTTTCTGGAGGTTATTGTGTGTATCGCCAGTGATTTAGTGACACATTTTGCGGCACCGATTGGTTTTTGTGGTGTATATAAGCCATAAGTTGGTGTCAATCACTCAATCCTATTCAATACGGTCTACACTTGTATCCAATTTGTGTGTAAATAGTATGTGTTGTGTGTCTCTAATTGTAATCTCAATTCTCTAACAGAATATTCTGTGCCCTTCTTTCCACTTTAATACAGACACACTGACTCCCAGCCCCCCTCTCAATACCTTTCCCCTTATCACTTATATACAGAATATTATACGATTTAATTGGCTCTCGACTTGTGTGCCACTAATAATGGTATCATCTATTGAGTCGTCCATTCAATGAGCGATTCATTCATTAGATTTAATTCATCGTTTGAATTACGAGTCGAAAAGTTTTAACTCTTTTTCATTAGCCGTGTGTTTCGCTCATTAATTACATGTCTTTTACATAAAACTGCTATTTATTGCACTGAACAAAATGCTAGTGCCATTTGTTAATTATTATAATTATTAATTTGAATATACAGTATATATATATATTATATCTTATGTATAAAATAGTTTTAATCAACTTAAATACGTTTCATTAGGATTTTTCTCGTATATATAGTTTTGAGTGTAATTACCGTATAATAAGGAATATAATAGAAAAGTTTTGTTAGTTTTTTGTGTTTGTGTTTTTGAAATTTTTGCGTTTATTTTATATTCTCGAGCGAAACCAGTATTAAGTTATGATAAGCAATGGCATCAGGAATTGAATTGAATTTCAAATGACAAATGTCTGTAAGAATAGAGAGAGAGAGAGAGAGAGAGAGAGAGATAAGAGTGTGTGACTCAATGGACAGCCAAACTATTTGTCCGCATTTTTATATATAAATAACATTTTTAATATTGAGTGTCATATCGGAGGCACCCATTCATGAACTGGTTTGTGAAAAATTGGTAGTCTTTTAGGCCCGGAATGGCTGTAAACCTCAGTATATATATAAGCTAACGGTGCAAACCATTGGCGCAAATACTAGTATATGGATGCTGTGGAGCGGCAAACGGATAGCTCAACAGAAAATTGTGTTTGAAATGACCGATAGATAAATATTATGTGTTTTTTATCTCTCTATTGAATGCAAAAATTGACACAAAAATTAATGTCGATATACGCGTCGATTTGTATTGATATTGCTGAATGTGTTTTGTATGCTATCTGAGGGGGAACTACAGTTTTTCTTAATTAAAACACTTGCCTTACTACTGTACAAGAATTTATTGATATTATGAGTATATCAGGGATTTCTGCATTCAATTCAATTGAGTCGCTGTTTATATAACTTTATTCTAACAATACGTTTGAGATATGAATTCAAGTCTATTGAACACAATTGAGTCTTGAGATGTGTTAGTGTTTGTCACTAAACTCTGTAATAATATTTACTGTTTAGTCGACTGAATATACAGTGTTTTGTGTGCGAAAAGTTTGTCGGGAGAGAGAGAGAGAGAGAGAGAGAGATTCAAATAATAACAAAATATCGATATTATATAAGTTGGTGTGAATTGAATGCCTGTATATATTTGTATTGCATTTGTTTTGGTGTGCATTTCAATGCTCTCTCTCGCTCTCTCTCTCTCTCTCTCTCTCTAATACAGAATATTCCTGTTTCTCACAATTATTCTGTTTCATATACCATACACCAGAATAATACAGTTTTATAGTGAGTATGAGTGCCTATCGAGAATACAGGCGCCGTTTTAGTGTGTGAGCTCAAGCTGTCGCACACGTCGTTATTATATTGGCTTTTCCTTAAACTTATTATTTGTGTCTCTCTTTCGCTAACTCTATGTTTGATGTCTTAATACTCTATCGGTATTACCAAATGAAACGAGTGTCTCGTATCATACGCTACGGTGTTATAGATAGATGGGTAGATCGGGAGCACTGGGAGCCTCAACAACCAAACGCACATATAAACAGTTATATAATATAATGAGAGAGATATTGGCTGCCAGTGGACTGTGCGGCCAATTATGCCATACGTCGGACGAGTATTTCGCTATCATTTAATATATAATACGAAAAGACAATTAATTTTGCGGACAAAACACACATAACACACACGATATGATACACTATTTTTCATCCGCTTTTTGCACTCATTTTTATTGCGTTATTACTATTATAGCTGTCGTATGACACAGATTGCGACGATTCCGGGCACCGGCGGTTGGCCCGGTGTGTGGGATGCCTATCGAGCGACACCATCATCAAAGTGATGACAACATTAGTGTACACGCAAATGCTTTTACAACAGTTGCCGGTGGGTGACAGTTGGCCGGTGCTGTTGGGCGCCCACAGCCAACAGTCCCTCCTAAGGCTGGCCCAGTGTTTCGGTTTAGGGATTAATTATTTTTATAGTCTGTATGTCATAACCGCCGATGAGTACGATTGGAGGTAATGGTTGGCTAACAGTGCCCTTAACACTGGTGGACAGTCGTATTTTGGGTGACAAATAGATGACAAAAGTTTTATTATTGTATTTTTGTTGTGGAAATTATTGTTATTATTATATTATATCCGAAATGAATGATTAGTTTTTACGATATCTGATTGTGTTTAATGCGATAAATAACTGTTTGTCTCTCATTGAGAGCCTGTAATTACAAGCATATGGTGGAAATGGATCACAATTTTTATGTCCACCTAATAACGGGGCCTAACCATTTGATTTCTAGCTATGATTTTGATTTCATATATAGAAAACAATATTAAATATTTTTTACGATTATATCGCAAAATGTTTTCATGAGTTATATGAGAGACCAATAGTTACGAAGAGCGGTCGTACCGTTTTGTAGTCGATATGAGTTCCCAAAATACTAATGGTATTAAATATATTTTTGGACCATTAAAGGTGAGGCACCGGTACTTCCCTTTTATGGTGAGAGAGCGAGAGAGAGAGAGGGAGAGAGAGAGAGAGAGACCATAAGAAACTAAATATTATATAATGTTATACTTTATCAGAGAGAAAATACATTATTAATGGCTCTGAACTGAACGCAAAGTTAAGAGTTTTAGGTTTTTTAGGGCCGAGTCCTGCCGAGTCTTACCGTCTATTTTCAAACTCTCCTTTTAATATAACAATACTTTAACTCATATTCTGTGATATGTTTTGGAAATATATTGACATTTAAAGGTCTGCTGAGGAAAAACAATCATTACTTTTATGTTATAAAGTCATGCAATACTCCGTTCACTCAAAAACCTTCTCTATCTCCCTTTCCCTCATACTTTACCTCCCAGTCCTCAATAAGATATATGGATATCATAGCAAAGAAAAAACATTAGACATGTCTTTCCCCTCCCGATCTCTCCCTGTGCTAATGCCTAATATCTGTCAATTGGTTTTGATCGGCAAAACTCGAGAAATTCATTTCCCATTCATTTGTTTCTCATATTTGTTTTCTAATGGCTTTTTGGTCGACATTTGCATCAAATTTCCAAATTATTTATCATTTATTGTCTTAACAGCCGATGCCATACATTATTCAATACATGATTTAGTCTCTCATGAGATCAATATGTGTTTCACTCTCTATCGACTCGTAATCTAAGACTAAATCTCTCTCTCTCTCTCTCTCTCTCTCGCTCTCGCTCTCGTCTCTAATGTATAGCGAATATCAGAAATATATTTGTCTCTTATATTGTTATTAATGGCAATACTTATGGAAACATAATTTTGTGGATAAAATATTCATTCAAATGGTGTCATAGATTGAAGGCTAGGTTTTAATGGTTTTTGATATTGGCTTAGAAATCACTTGTTTGCCAATTTTATTGAAATTATTTGTTTTTACTAATTTTCTATTTGTGCTTAAATTTTATTTAAATTAATACCGAGTTGGATGTCTAATTTTTAATACATTAAACTTTTGTATAGAATTATCTAGATTTATATTATCAAATAAATTGTTGATTAATTGTCTAATAAAAGTTTTTGATGATAATAAGTAGCATTCATTAATTTGGAGTCCAATTGAAATATCGAATAAAACTACCATGAGTATAAAATATTTATGAATACACATAATAGATGAGAATTATTTTAGCAAAACATTATTAATCAATGATAAAAGTATGTGAAGTTTTGTCCTTTTATCGACTTTTGTGTGCAAATAAATTGTGTAAACCTTTACCTTAAAAGACTAATACAGTACCGGTAGTGGACAGGTGCATAATCATTGGTAATTTAAACATGTTTGTTATTAGCATTTTACAGTTTACATTAACTATGCGATTATTCATCCAAATGTCTACTTTGCTGTCCAAATGCATGTCAAATATAATGTATATTTAAATTACTTTTTGTCTATTAATGAATGCAACAAAATATAC